GCTAGTGTTGCTGCGGGAAGATGCACGTGGGGTGCAGCACCCCCAAACGTCTGCCTTGGGTGCTGGGACCCTGGAAATGTGGCTGGCTGGGCCCCAGCGTGTGCCCCTGAAGTGACTCCTGGAAGCCTCTCCTTCTCCATGGGTGTATGGACTCGGGGGCTGGGCTGGAGTCATGGCTCTTGGTTTTGTATCTGCAGTTGGACACACACCCACACGCGTGTGCGCCTGCTCCTTGGTAGTGGACAGGGCAGGATGCCGTTTTGTACCTGTTGATTTTCTTCAAAAAAGTATTTTTCTTATATAAGCATAAAATAACAACAAAAAAGCAGTGCTGGTAACGAGGGCGATGCTGACGAGCGGATGAAACAGACCCATGTTGTTCTTGTGGGCAGGGCCTCTGCCTTCAGCCCCGCGCAGAGCCCTGGGCCCTCCCTGGGTTTTCAGATCCGCCCGCCTGTGGCCTCCTGGCCCTGAACGGTCCCTTGGGGCCAGCCCCAACCCTGCCCCGTTAGGCCTGCAGCCACACGGCTCGGGCGGCCCTCGAGGTCCTCCTCGCCCTGGGTCTCCGCCTCCCCTCTGCCTCCTTCTCCGAACTCATGTTAAAAGCCTTTTCCAGAAGTGGGAGGCCAAAGAACTGGGCAGCGTGATGGTCTAGGGCTCCCGGGGCAGCCCAGCACCGTGGGGGCCGAGCTCAGCGTGGGCCTGACGCGGCGAGAGGGGCGCTTCCTGGTTTCGCTGTTTACCGCGGAGCCGGCAGCCTGTCAGTAACTCTTTGTCCACAAAAGAAAGCCCGAACTCATTAGCTGCCCGGCCAGCTCCCTTCCAGCCTCCTTGCCCCTGTGGTCCATGTGGCACCATGTGTTCACCATGGTGGCCTGTCCTTCTGCCCAGCAAAGCCCAGGTCCGTCTCGGTGCCGCCTCTGAGAAGTCTTCCTAGGCCTTTGCTCCAGGTGGAAGGGATGGACCCTGCTCGTCCACTAAAGATGCCGCTGCAGTGGACACTCACCTCTCTCCCGGCAGTGAACGCTGCTTTCCTGTGTTACAGGCTAACCCTGGTCAGCACCTACTGGGGTCCCACGCTGAGCCCTGACCTCTGACCCTGGTCCCACTCTGAGCCCTGACCCTGGACGGCTCCGTAATACCTATTGGGGGTCTCCTCCGGGCTGGGCCTGTGCTGAGAACGGAGGGTGCAGGGGATTGTCTGCCTCCGCAGCCCCGGCGCCCTTTGCCCTTGGAGGCCAGAGTCCTGTGCTTCCAGTGCGGAGGGTGGCAGGAGCGTGACTGGGATGGGGTGCCTGCAGTCAGGCCGCTGGGCCGAGGGTGCAACAGGGAGCTCGGGGCAGGGGGCGGCAGCGAGGGCAGAGGTCAGCTCTGCTGCTGGCCAACCTGGGGTTCTGGAAGCTCCTTCTCCTGGCTGTGGGGTAAGGGGCCTGGAGACCCATTAAGAAGGAGGCTGTGCTCTTGGTTTAAACAGGAGCCGGTCAGAATCAGAGCTTCTGAGGGTGGAAGGTTCCCAGTGAGCATGTGAGGTAAGGCGGCGGGGAGGATGTCTGAGTTTTGAGTGGGGTCCAGCTGGACTTCCTCCCTGGCCACTGCACGGCCGTGCTCTCTGCCCAGAGTCTGAGCCGGGTGACTGGAGGATGGTGGATGTGGGAAGGGGAGGGTAGTGAGGGCAGTTGCTGTCCTGTGCGAGGTCCGGGGGCCCAGTGGGGCTCCGGCAGCCTGGGGGTCAAAAGGCGGTGTGGGGCCACATTGCTCTGGGGGCTGTGTGCCTCAGGAGGGCAGGGGACATAGGACTGGGCTCTGAGGACTCCGGTGTGAGAGTCAGGACAGGGCAGCAGTGAGGAGAGCCTGTGGAGGCTGAGTGACAGGGTCCCGGGAGGGCTTAGGGGGAGGGGGCAGGGCAGCAGTGACCTGTGTGCAGAAGGGCCCAGGGGGGCGATGTCAAGGGTGCTACTTGGGGCATCTGGAAGGCGTCAGTGACCACCTTTCTCTGGCCTGCCTTGTTGCTCACAAGTCCTCTGTGTTCCAGAGGGACAGGCTGGAGGGGGGTTGATGCCTTCCATCAGAGCCAGAAGAGACCCCAGGCCACCCACCATACCCTTGTACCAGTGGCAGACCCGAGAGCTGGTGGCATTGGGGCGACAGCGGTGAGTGATGTCCAGGGTCGTGGAGAGCGCTGGGGGTGGGCTTGGGGCCCGGTTTCAGGATTCCAAGATCAAGCTGCCTTACCAAGTGCCAGAGCCTCGTCCGTCTGAGCCCAGATGAGCAAGACCAGGTCCCTGGCCTGGAGGAGCCGCAGACAAGGAGTCGGGCAGATCTGCTCTTGGTGAACAGCGGGGCAGGCAGCCCAGGGGGCTCCCCTGCAAGGAAACAGCTTAACGTGGAAAAAACCGTCACGTTAGCTGCTTTACAGGCTTGCAGAGGATAGGCAGAGCAGCCGGGCTTGTCCCCTCAACACCACCCGCCTTACCACCCTGGTCAAGAGCGCTGCAGTGGGAGGCTGGCCCTGAGACCCCCGGTCCCGGCAGGAGGTCCTTTCTGTGGGAGAGTCGTGTAGGCCTTTGCGGGACCCGCAGAGTAAGAAGCATCACGTAAGCCCAGCTAGCAGCCACTCGGTCCGTAGTGGGCGGCCGCTGAGTGGGATGCAGGGGGGGAGCCGGCAGTCCCAGAAGTCACAAACCCACAGCCCGAGGCCCGACACCCACTAAATTCTGTTCCCCTCAGATTTGTGTGTTGGAAGTCTCACCCCAGGACTTCAGAAGGTGACTGTTTGACGATGGGGCCTTCAAAGAGGTGATTAAGGTGAAGTGTCTCTGGGGTGAACTCTCATTCAGCGTGACTGGTGTCCTGATTCAGTGGGATCAGGATGCAGACTCCCACGGGGGGTGAGCACATTGAGGACGCAGGGAGCAAATGGTGGTCCACTGTCCAGGAGAGGCCTCGGGAGGAGCCAGCCCTGCCGACACCTCCGTCTCGGACTTGGGCCTCCAGGACGGGGGAGAAGGCTTCTCCACGTGTGGGCCGCCCGGCCCGTGCTGCCTGTTACGGCAGCTGCAGCTGACTCATGCCCGCCCCCAAGGAACTAACCAGATAGCATCACCTAAGAGAGTTTCTAAGAAATACTTTTAGAATAAGATGAAATCACAGAAATTAGTAATAATAAGAGATGATCAAAAGTGACCCAGTGTGTCTGGAAAAGATCAGTGATGGAACTCCATGGAGGGCCAGGCACACACTTGGTCACAGGTGACGTGAGAGGCAGCAGGGTAGGAGGTGTATCTGAAGACATTACAGTGCTGTGGGGAGGTGAGAAAGTGGAGACAGGGACAGCAGTGAAGAGGTAGGGGGAATAGAGTCAGAAATCCTCGCAGGTCTGAGTGGAGTCCCAGGCAGCGCGTGAGGAGGTCCCGCCTGGCCTGGGAGGCAGGGCTGACACGGAGCAGCGACGTGCATCCCGGGAAACCTGGGCCCTGGGGGAGGGAGGGTGACAGCCCTGCTCCCAGCTCAGTCCCAGCAGCAGCAGTGGATGCCAGGAAATGGTCAGATGATACCAAGGGCGAGAGAGAGGAACTGTCACCCTGCAGTTGACCCCCAGCAAAACCATCTCAAGAGCTAAGACAAAATACAGACGTTTTTATACAAGTGAAAGCTTGGCGGGTTGCCACCAAGAGACTTTCACTAAAGGAGCTTCTGAAGGATGGACTCGGGGTGGAGAATAATCCTCAAAGCCAGGTCTGCAGTGTAGCGCTCAAGGAACAGGTAGATGGGAGACAAATCCAGCAAATGACTGTGTGAGATAATCATTCCATATTGAACAATGACTGTGACTGTAACTTGTGACGTTCAGTTTGTAGAAAGGCGAGAACAACTGGACAATGATAGTCTATTAGTTGCAAAGAGTGATTAAATTACTCTGAGCTCATTATTTGCAGGGAAATGAAATACTCATAAATTTTGGCATCTGTTTATAACTATGTATGGTAAAAACTCAAGGGTTCCTTCATCAAAATTAAAAACTCACGCTCTGCAAATGAGAATAAAAAGATAAGCTACTCATGGGGAGAAAATGTTTATATATCCTGTGTCTGACAGAGGACT